CCCTCCTCAGCCGCTCCAGCTCACCCAACTCCAATACCAGTGGGGGGACACCTATCCCCTCAGGGTTTGAAGAGGCTGATGGCCGCAGGGGCCCTGGTCCTGGTCCAAAAGACTGCATCATCATGGAGGTCATGCTTAATAAAGGTTAGTTGACTTGATGGAGAACCCCCTAGAACCCCTTTCCTGACACCAAGAAAAAGAGTAAATTGGTGTTAAATTTCTGAAAGTAAAAATCATTGTGGTTTTGTTACCTTNNNNAGAGAGAGCGGGTCCTCTTCTATTGAACCGCCATTGTAGAGGCCACTGTAGTTTCCCCTACCCACTTGTGGCTGAGCTGTATTCAGTTGGTTGCAATCTGCAACTTCTCATTTAATGAAAACACAATTTCTATATTCAGGTGACTATACACTAATAAAAACATACCTATGAAAATTATTTTCCATTTCTGATCCTCCTAAATGTTACACACTGGACATTTACCATTATTCATTAGCGAGGAAACGCAGACCTGGACTAAATATATACTCAAGTATGAGGACAGTATGTCTTCGTACTTCAATATATATTTGGTATATAGTGTATCCTTAACCGCTTTTTGCAGTTGTAATAATATCCCCTCATGAATTACATATTTGTCAGCCAGCTGTCATACTATAGTGGGAGGTCTAGTACTATTTTTGCAGTGATGGAATATGGATCCAGAGTGATCACATTCATTTTGATATGACTGTTCACACTGAGGTCACACTGTAAAAACAAATTATACTGTATCTGCAGTGATTGGTAACTCACTTTTTGAGAACACTGATTTCTGAGAGTGAATTTTGTTTAGTTTTTTTCTTTTCTTTCTTTTAGAGCCTGGTGTAGGTCTTGGGATTGGAGTTTGCTTCTTGACCCTGGAGAACTCTGCTCCTGGCATCTACATTCATAGCCTGGCACTGGGATCTGTGGCGAAGATGGATGGCAGGCTCAGGTAGAAACTTCAGGGTCACCTTTGAATTGGGAACTTTAAATGAAGTTAATGTGTAGTTGCACTAATGCAAAGACACCAAATGAGCAGCCTACTTTTAAATGAGCTCACTGATTGGAACTTGTATTAATGAATCATTTATTGGTTATATTATGTTGACATGAACGTATATGTGTGGATTTATGTTGAGGTATTAACAAAGAGGGTTGTTGTGCTGACAAATGTGCTTCCTCTTGCAGTCGTGGAGATCAGATACTGGAGGTGGACTCGGTCAGTCTTCGTCATGCTGCTCTCAGCGAGGCCTATGCCATCCTCAGTGAATGTGGCCCAGGACCAGTCAGTCTCATTATAAGCAGGCACCCCAACCCCAAGGTAAGAGGATGTCTGTTTCTTTAAGATATTCTACATCTATCTAGTATTGTATGAGCCCAGTAATCTGTAGAACAGCCTGAACTATAAGGGGGTCTTTATTCAGAAACACACCAGGAAGTGTCTCATAAGGTACTTAGATTAATGTCAAAGAAATCCATGGCCCTGTTTTACATAAAAATAGAGAACCAGCTGCATAGCATGATGCTGCCACCACACTTTATAGTTGGAATGGTGGGTTTTTGATGGTGAGAGGTTATTGACCAAGTGTCCAGTTTTGGTCAGACCATACTGTGCAAATATATCTTACTGATACCTCTGGAGACATTCACTCAATTTGGACTTTAACACCAATAACTCGCAACTTTACTAATAATCGCAATATCAAAATCGGATAATCAGCCTGGCCGATAATCTGTCTATCCCTCCAACAGCAACAAAGACAAGCGTCTTCGTCTGTTACTTTCTACATATTCACCACATGTCCATATCAACATGTGTATGTGTGTATATACATGTATATGAGGTTTCCTGTCTTTGTACATACATGCAATATTGGTACTCATACATGTGAATGCATGTTCTTATTTTCTGATATGTGCCCTTTATACTTTTAATTATTAGACCATTTCAAATTTTTTTTAATTTCATATTTTCATAAAATGCTTTTATTACTGCTGTGCTGCTGTATAATAGTTGCCAGGGTAGTGAACCAGTTGTGATAAAACTGCATCATTGTCTTTTCTCAGGTATCAGAACAGGAGATGGATCACATTATAGCCCGATCCACACACAGGGACAAAATGAGCAAAAATCGACACTCAACTCACTCCCAAGGTCTGATATCTTTACTTACATTTTCCCCTTTTTTCATTCACGCAAGCATTGCTTAAATAGCATGTCTCACTTCACAAGTAAAATGTTTTTTATGCTATGGGTATCCCATCTGGGTTTGACTGCCACTGTTGTAATCTGTAGGCGTGTCCTGTAAGAGTCCTTACCCAACAGTGAAAGACAGACAGAGAGATGGATCCCCTGCTCTCAGCTGGACCATGAAGAGATTCCTTGAGCCTGCCAGTAGAGTAAGAATTCATTCAGTATTTATGTATTATTACTTCACACAGACACATCACTTGGTTGTTTAATTCTTCTTAATTGTGTATTTGTAATAATCGGTCTCACAGGCACTCACTGAGTCATTACTCTAACAAAGTCTGTTTCCTTATTTTATTTCAAAATCAAAAACTGAGAAAACAGTCTTGATATTCCATTATCAATGATGTTGAAGTAATTTATATATATAGGTATTTATATTTTACGTACTCCTTTTTGTTTAAAATATAAAAATATCATACATTGTTTTATTTACCAGATAAGGCTTTTTGCCTGTTCTATGAAATCCCAAATATAGACTTTTATGGTCCAAAACAATAACAGCATTCTGAAAAGTTTCTGAAAAAAAGGAGAAACTATGGGAAATTTAATGTAAAGCATTAATAGAAATAAATTTACCATTAAATTGTTTCTCACACTTTGGCTAGGTCCACACTACAAGCCTTAGCGCTCAATTCTGATTCATGGAATTTATAAATTTGGCTGTAAACGATATTTTTGGAATGTGGCCCAGATCATTCCAGTGTAAACAGGTTGCGGCCACAGTGAAGTGACCTGTATGATGAACATAGTCTCTGTGTATCCTTAAGGCCTAACGAACAATTTCTTCCATATAAAACATTAAAAGGTGAATTGTATTAAACATCTGCATTTTTTACACACTTCTTCTTCTCTGCCTTAACTGGCACAATGCTATATTTCTTGCTGTGTTACCACCAACAACTGTTGATCAGTGAAACAGAGTAAAACCGAGGGATGTCAAATACCCTTTCCTGACCATTTTTTCTACTCAGCAATTAAGTTCAGCAATTAATATTCATTGGCTGTTTTGTTTTGTTCAAACAGGAAAATGTACTTTTACATAGCTTATTGTGGGGAGCTACTTAAAAAATATGTGGTTGTGGTTTTCATTTTACTTTTACTTGCTGTGGTCTTTTTCACAAGCAGCAGGGGTCCCTGAGCTCAGAGACAGAGTTATCTCAGTACTTCTCCCAGGACGTTTCCAGCCATTCGTTCCTGTCTGAGTCCATGCTGATGGTCTCCGACAGTGATGAGGCGCTCCACCAGCAGAGCTGCAGCACCTCCACAGATGACAACTCATCACAGCCACATGGTAAAATTTAACTTTTCAATTTCGAAGTTCTAACAACTTCCTTAAACCTAGCTTCAGAGTAAAGTGACTTTGAAACTAAATGAACTGAAATGGCAGTCTTGGACATGGATTTAACCAGTCTAGAATTAACTCAACCCAGATCCAGAAGGTATATTCGAGTTACTCCAGGACTAAGGATTGGCTTAAATTAAACCTCCAAAGACTCAGGTTTAACCTTCGTACACATTTGGACTGGAATAGAAATTATTGTTATTTGTTACCCTGTTAATTGTTGTTACCATATTTCCTTTTTGAATAAACCACATTGCCTTTATCTTATTCACAGCATTCCCCCTTTCTTTACCAGAAGTGGAGAGTGGCCCTGTGTACAACACGTCACAAGAGAAGACCCCTGTCCCTCTCAATCACCACATAGAGGCAGTGTGCCAGCCCACTGCTGTCTCCAGCCCCACCTTAGAGCGAAGCCCACTTCTCCGTCAGCGACGGATGATTTGCTTTGAGGATGAGCTCAGTGATTATGAGTACTCCACCAATGCTGGAAGCTCTGGGCTATTCCACAGGTCAACAAAATCTGACTCTGTGAACTCCAGTGATGCCCAAGCATCCCAAATCTCCAAAACTGATTCAACAGTAATTGCTACATCATCATTAGATGTAGACAGTGACGATGGTGGGGACTTGCAGAAGTGTGAAAGCAATGATGTGACACCACCACTTTATGGTAGTTTATCACAGTGTGAGGAAGGTATCACAAGTAAGTCTGAGTCACATGGTTCTGAGTCACCCTTCATGCCTATTCGCTGCCTTTTTGACCACAAAGCAGGGGTCACAAGCAGTATGGGTTCTGGGTCCAATAATTTGACCATCAATAGTGAAATCTATACAAATCAAGATGATGGTCAGTTGGAGTCAAAGCGCTCCCCCAAGCTTGAGCATAAAGCAGTGACGCGGGTCAAAAGTATGATGAGCACTGAAGCACCTATCCTGCCCCAGCAGCAAAAGTCCAAAATTGATGAACCAACTCATGGCTTGGTCCCAATTCAGCCTCCATCCCAGGCCACGCTGTGTGGAAGAAACCCCAGGATTGCTGGTGGGATGTTAACCCAACAGCACTGTCCGAAAGGAGATGCCAGTGAGCTTGTGGGTGTTTGTACCACCGACTCTGTGAACCTGTGGAGAAGAGAGGATGAGTCCTTTGGGCTTGACCTGGAGATCATGTCACCCCCTCTGAAAGTTTTCATCGCGGGATTAAGGCCTGGAGGCGCAGCAGAAAGGGTATGTCTGATTGGTTTCATCTTCATTCCACTCCAGTATCAGTGAATGGATACTTCTGACCTTATGCCAAACCCCTCAGTTTGAATAATCAAAAGAATAAAAAAATAATGCTATTTGGGGCATGAGCACTGGTAAATCTGCTGCACACCGAAAGGCTATAGCTGATCTCTTTTGTTTAATCATACTTCCAGGAATCTTCAGGCAAGTTGTGTCCTGGAGATGAGATTGTGAAAATTGGAGAAAATCTGGTGTGCTCCTCTAGCTACCAAGAAATCTGGGAGCTCATGCTTAACCTTCCCATGACACTGTCATTGGAAGTTAAGAGACCAGTTTCAGGTAAGACTTTGATTAGGAATCCCTTTATTCTCGAGTTATAGGTCATTGAACATCAATGCGGATTCTACTGTTTTGCATTTTACTGTAGGACTCCATGTTTGATCTTTTTAAGTAGAACTGAGATGTGGTCCTTTGTGTGAATTGTAGTCCTTCTCAACTGGTGTAGCCCAAGGGTCCAGGTTTGGCCTTGGGCCATTTTAAGACTGACAATGTCCAAAGAACACATCCTCCTCCCACAATTATTTTAATGAGACCACTGAAATAGCAGAGGTCCTCACGTGGACACCAGCTAAAAAACTTAAAATTAATTTAATTAAAAAACAATTAAATAATATGACCAAATAAGGCTAAACGTTAGAATCTTTTCAACATAGAGGGCCCCTGGTCCTGGGGGTTCACACAGAAAATTCCAATCCTTTGAGGAACAGAGAAAGAGAGAGTTGTTTTGTGTGTACTCCATCCACTCCATCTCATTGTGTCCTCTTTGCATTCACAGCTGTACTTAAAGGTGTCAGGTTGTGATCAGATCACCCAAGATGTACGTGAAAACAGGGCCAAACATAAACACACATATTGTCCTGCACCTTAGTTTGTTGAACGAGCCATCAAACAAACATTCACAGTTTGCAGGCTAAATAGCTAATTCAGCACATTAATTACATTACATCGTCAGACATTATTTTTGACTACAAGAAAGGATGACTAAATGTGATTTCAGTTGGACTTTAAATTTGTGGTTTGATGAAGTGTGCAGATGTTATTCTTTTCATCAATGCTGTTTTCCAAAGCCTTGCACCTACATGTGATGGGGTGGTATATAATTACCCTTCTTTTAACTTGTGTTTATAAGCCACTAGTGGTAGATTACTCAGTATGCCTTTAAATAAAGCACGTTGTTTTTCCCTTTTATGCCAACCTAAAACGTAGGATCCACCCACCCTCACTCACTTCCCCAAGGCAACGTGCAAGCAACTGGCTTTCTATCCATGGTGACTATCATCATATACAGTACATTTTACCTTTAGTTACCAGTACTAGAATTACCTTGTAGCTTAACTCCCTGCATGCTTTAATAATTCAACTTTAATTTTAATTGCTAACTTTATTGTAGAGTAGTGTAAATCTTAATTTAGTGTACCACAGACATTGCTGTGGATCGCTGTTTCTTGGTCACTATAAGAGCAGAGTTTTATTCCCATGTCATTATTTGGGAATCTTCTATTGGGGTCTTTGTATTAGATTTCAACATCTACCCATCAACTACAACATTTGGGGTTGTGGGTGAAAGGATTGATAGGGCAAAAGAAAAATAATAATAATATGAAGACCTATTACTCCTGTCAATTTATAATTCTGTAGTTGATAAACAGACGAGTGTTTTAGTCCCTTTCTAATCTTGTAATACAAGAGACAGCAATACAAGTACTACTCAGGTACCTCCGGGAGCAACCACAGCAATGTCTCTAGTTATGCTTTCTAATATAGCAGCTGAATAAAACTGAAATGTGTACCTACATTTTCTGAACTACTCAATTAATTCATTTCTGTCAGTTTTTTGTCCTTGCCGACTTCATCTAACATGTGTGATGCAACGTATAGTATTTGGTTCTTCAATATGTAATGCAATGCAATTAAATTTTACAAAAGCAAATTTAATTACTCATCGGTTCTTGTTCATAATAACAATTTTAATAATATGATTATTTTTAAAACTTGTCTTTGCTTGTAGTCATAGCTTTAGTTCACTATAGTTAACATTGATAGGGAAAGAAGATCTCATGTGCCAAAGCTTTCATTTAACTCTACATGTGATTTGAATTGTGCAGTTTGTTATTGCTCAGCTCTAGGAATATTAATTTATTCAGACTTTAGAAAATACAATCAACTCTCCCTCTGATCTCCCTCTATTCATATATGTAGTTTATAATAGTATAATATAGAACTACCATATTTGTGGATTTAAGTGTTCTGGGTATTGCATGGTCTAAAATCTCTTGAGTACTGAAAGAATTGTTCAATATAATCAGTGCTATGGTCTACAAGGACCTTCTAAGTGAACATTAGACTGATCAGATCGACTTTGCATACCTAAAAAATCATCACCCTGGACATGTATTATTTTGTTCTACAGCATAACCCCTTTGGTAGGCACTACATAGCACAGTACTCCAAAACAAGAAGACACAAGAACAGTTCTTCCCACAAACCACTCTGATGACGTTAAATCAGTCATACAGTGTCAATAACCCTCTACCACCAAAACCTCTATTTACCCCCAATATAGATCAATGGTTCCCAAACCCTCACAGGGGGTTGAGAGGAAAACTTTAAAAAATATATACAGTAGGTCTATATCTCATTCAGCATTTCATTCATTTCTGTTAAGAATGTAGATTATCAACTAGGTCTAAACTTTGAAGACCTGATGTTCAATTCACACAGCCTCCACTCTCTCATTAACAACCTTGTCTATTAGAAAAGTATGCAGTCAAAACAATCAAATGGCTAATAGAACAATGGTCAAGTGTCAGGGAGAAGAAAACACTGAATTTGTGTTTGAAGCCGATTAAGTATGTTTGATTGTTACAGAGTCAAAATTCATCCAAATCCTTAACTTGCTGCAGTTATTGTGTTCACTGTTTGGGTTCATTGTACAGTTTATCAGTTGTTCTTTACTGTTATTGTTATGAATTGATTATAATATGAATTAAAGGGGAACTTGGCAACTCTAGCCATTTCTTCGCTGGTTTTCACTTTTGTCATCGCATGTAAACCAGATCAAAATCGCCATGCACGCCACACCATGGGCATGCCGTTTGACGCACAGTCACAAGTAGCACAAGTTTTTATCTACAGTTTATTTTCATTGTACTAACCACTTTTGAAATTGATTTGATATATTCCCTAGGAGGAGTTCGTTCAAATAAAACACGCGATTTTTGGTATGTGAGCTACAGGCACCACTCTACACGTGCCCTGTGAATTTCATATTCATAACTATTACGGTCTCCGCACAGTGATTTACCCTGCCACCAGAGCGCCACCTAGTGGCAGATTGTTGACACATTTTTTAGTGAGCCTCAGGGAGCCATGGGCAATCATCGTACCAAGTTTGTTTTAATCACACGTGCCGATGCAGAGATATAAAGGTCTTAATTTTGAAGAGCGCCACCTTGTGGTGATGCCCTCAAATTGTGCACGATGCCTAAGGAA